TATACCGCCGCGGCAGCAGGTTCCAAGTAGCCACATTGTTCCTAAGAGTGGTCCGGACCACTCTAAGGATTTTCTCTCAGCCATGCTGTTTTTACGCAAAATTTCGCTTCGTGAATCCACTTACGAGCACTTTTCGGTGACGTAAGCAAATATAGCAACTGCATCCCCATCGCTGACATGTTCCCGGGCAGTCACAGCGCGCTTTATTTGCAGCGGCCGATGTGACAACGATGGCCTCTTACGACGTTTTTTCGTTTCGTGAATCGACTTACGCAACAAAATTTCTCTTGCGCAAAAATGTTTTCGTAAGTGAGTTTTGTAAATCCGGGCCCACAGCTTTTCGAGAATGCGCTGATACGTTGCGAAATCTAGAAATCGGAACAGAAAAGCGGCAATAAGCTTCAAACGCGAGTAAACGTGACCGCATTTGGTGAAGAAAGGCTGTTTTAGCGGAGAGGAGTAACTATTTTGAACGCGGTATTCTACAGTATCTGAATTCACTCTTATACGTAGAACACTGAGACTTCTAATATGTGGTGCCTCTCTATTACTTACACACAGATGGAGCTGCTGTGACGGCGATGTGTTTGCAACACGTTGGGTAAGAGAACTGAATGTTGAATGAGTTTATAAACAATTCATAACAAATTTTTATCATTTGGGGCACGAAGACTGCCGCATTAGACCGATGAACACGCTTTAGGGCAAGTTGTCATCCGTCGTGTGCTCTACCGATGCATTGCTGTGCGCCACATCTCGGAGGCAATGCTTTAAATCATATGGTTCAAAGTAGGCACAAAGATTACGCCTCCCGTAATTTTATCGACAAAAACATTGTGAAATTTATTTTAATGTTCTATACTTCAGTTTTGCATTGGCACTGTGGATACTTGTGCGCAAGTATCCACAGTGCAAAGCCGTCCCGTGGGTAGCAGAAATACTCCTTTCAAAGAAAAAAAAAAAGTTGACAGCAAATTCACGAGGTGAATGATGATGAGATCGGGCGAAGCTCCTGGAAGTAATACCGTGAAATTTTCTTCCGTTAATTCGCCTGGCGATATGCGCGCTTCCTCGGCGCTTCCCAATGTTGAACGTTTTCAAAATCTGCTTCGCGACGTTGACGTGCTGCCTCGGCCTCTCGTTCTCGTACGGAAGGATCTTGCCGACGCTGCCTTGTTGACGTGGCTTCTTGTTCCCGTACAGCAGGATCTTGCTGACGCTGACGTGCCACTGTAGCTTCTCGTTCTCGTACGGAAGGATCTTGCCGACGCTGCCTTGCTGATGTGGCTTCTTGTTCCCGTACAGCAGGATCTTGGCGGCGACGTAGCGCCGCTTCCCGGCGCGCTTCGGCCTCGCGTGCTCTCACTTCAGGGTCCTGTCTGCGAGCGCGCGCTGCCACTGCCCTGCGCTACCACCTTTCGGCATTCTTATCCTACGAGAACACACCAACGGCAACGAGTATCAGCAACTACAAACTTGTATCGATATGATTTCGATTATAAAACATTGCTTTAGAAAACATCTGACATCTTTCGTTAAGCAGCTGGCGTCTTCTTTTGGTTTTGCTTTAGAAACATCTGGCGTCTTTTCGTTTTGCTTTTAGAAAACATCTGGCGTCTTTCGTTCGTTTATTTCATCAATCAACGGCGTTTTGATTAAGAAGTTTTTATTGTTTAATCACGCACAGGAGAAATCTCACCAGGCACTACCTTGGAGGTAAACAATGGCTGCTACTGGGAATGAGAGACAGCGGAAGTCAACTTTTAACACTTCTACTTCTACTAACGTTTCATACCGGAAGGTGCCAATGGCTGCTAATGAGGAATGAGATAGAGAAGAATTCGGCTTTCAGTTAACGTGCACGCTGCGAATTTTTGTTATTGTTCAACAACGCACAGAAGAAATCTGTTCAACAACGCATATTGTTCAACAACGCAAATATTGTTCAACAACGCACAGAGGTCAAAGCGTAAGACTGGTTACACACTACGACTACGACTACAACTACGAGGGACAAACGGGTGCCGTTATAAGGAGCTTCGCCCCTAAAAGACGATGTTAGCTGTTCATATACAGGATGCGTGCGCTCGCCTTGCTGCGTAGTAGTTGTGGGATACGGCAGCTTTGCTTTCGCAACACCACGTGCATCGTCCCCCATGGCTGCACCGGTTCTTAGTCGCGATATTACGATGCAAGTAAGACACGAAAGTGCCACCGGGGGCACCAATTTGTAGTTCGCTTGCCCATATCATTAGGTCTTACCGCTTCTTTAAGCACTGAGTTTCGAAACAAGGTCAAGCACGCACGGTGTCCACAGCAAAAGCGCAGGAAATGCGGTGTTCTAGCAGACAACACAACCTGGTATCCTATGAGTGCCGTCATCCCGTAGGTGGCGCCACGGTATGTCCTCGAGGCCAATGGCATGTTAAAGGTGCTGAGACACAGTTTCCTACATGCTTCGCCCATCCCCACTTTTTTTGAAAATTAAGTCATTCACTCTTATCTTTTTATTTTTTACATAAAAGGGCCTTTCAGGTTGTTGTTCTTGACTTTTTCATGAACCCATTCTTTAATGCCCCCTGCTGAGCGCTCTCCCTCTCAGCGAGCAATAAAGCATTCGTACTTGACCTGACTAGTTATGCACTGCAGTGGGCCCACACCAAAAAGAAGACAGAAAACCGTGAAGTGCGAAACAGTGACCTATCGGAAAACAGCTGTATTAGCAGAAAAGGACACACACATGTTCAACAGACACGCACTCAGCAGAAGTAATATGAAACTAAACCTCTCCACAGCAAGACAGTTATAAGATAAGTGTATACATGCGCAAGCACTAATCCTTCAGACGAAAAGAACATCGAAACTAAGCGTTCGTTACGGTTAAAGTGAGGTGTAGGTCAACAGCGAGACGCGCATAATACCTTCGATTCATCGTCACTCGAGGGCAGAAAGCTGTTTCCCCCCTTATTTTTATGGTCTTCAAATTTTTTCTGAACAGCTAAGTGGCAGAAGTGTTAGATAACAATGACAATGCACCTTCTACGACGCTTGTTGCAGCTTTGGCATCTAGAGATGAGTACCTATATCTGTTGAAATTACCCGAAACTGTTGAGCTCGAACCAATTTCATTCTCTTCTTTTAGCCTTCTCTTGAACCTTCCGCAAGCGCGCTTTGTCGCTTCTGAAGGCAAACCTTCCATCGTCGTCTTGAGCTGAGAAGAGCTTGGCATGCATCGTAGTACATTTACAAAATAATGGTGCTTTTAGCACCGATGCTCATAAAGCTGCTCGTCGCAACCGGTATATACGCATTCGCTTCGTCCCTCTTGAGCCTGGTTCCCACAGCATGCTCACCGATATATCCAGCATGGAAGCCAATAACAAAGACGCGCGAGTCTGTCACGTAACTGACAAGGACGTAACACCAGGTAAAACTTGTCACGTCCCTAAGACCACGTAAGATAGCGCAACGAGTCATGCCGCTAAAACCAAGCAACATCACGCAACAACTAGTCACGTTGCGAAAACTCACGTAAACACGTAGCATTAAGTAAGGTTTCGTGGTATGACTACGAAATACGTAACATCACGTGGTAACCACGTGATAGTAACACGTGAGATTATGTGTTTTGGAGTCACACGACAAAACATTACTTATGTGACGTGGTTACGTAAGCTCTGATAATTTAAATAGTATTTGTGCGATGGTACGGGATTTTCCGTTACATGGGTATAGGACAAAAGATCCCATAACAGTGCGCAACTACTAGCCACGTGGTTCAAATCCCACTTCACGCCGCAGCTAGTCGGGTGGCATGTTCCGTAATTAAACCGTATAACAAGTATTCATGGGACTAAATTTATGTAACCACGTAGTAGTTAGTCACGGTGCATGTTGCCGCCATATTTATGTAATAGGACATATAGTGGGATATGTACCCGCCAAGAACCACAAAGCAGCTAGTAATGTGACTGAAATCACGCAACATCACGCAATAATTTTGGCTGGGACATGTTTCTTGGCCCGGGACTGATATACCATCACGTCACTTCTATAGGCACGCGACCTAAGTCGTGTAACATCACGTAACAACTAAAGAAAAAAGTGAAAATCTAAGGGCCGGTTAACTATATTAGACAACTAATATTAATGACAACTAATAGGTGGTCATGCGAAGAAAAGTATAGGAAATATGTTATTAGAAGTCAATGTGATGAAAATGGGAAGAAAGAAAATGGGACAGAAAGATAACTTGTCATCGGTAGGATTCGAACATGTCAAGTCACTAAAATCGCTTAACACATAACAGCCAGACACATGGCTAAAATCACGTAACAGTTGGTTGCATGACTACACATCACAAAACATGGCACAACGAGTAGTCACGTGGCGAAAGCATGCTAACAACTACTCGCGTGACACGTTCCCACCCAAAGCACACAAAACCTAGTCCCGTGATATGTTCCCTTCAAAACCACCATCACTTGTGTAGTTTAGAGAAGCGAGCGAAACCGGCAAATAAGAGCCAAGCCTTGCCACAATTTGTTACTACTAGAAAAACTAGAAAGCGTAGCATGCATGCTTCAATGTTCCGTAAGCCATTCCATATGTTGCTCATAAATTTCCGCAAGACTCTTACGTACGGTGCTCTTTGTATGCCATACGGAAAGTTTCAGTAGGAAGACAATGCATATGTTCCCCTTGCTGACGTCACATATTCTGCAGGGCACGTGCGAGGGAAGTATCAGAAAATAAAATAATAGCCGATGAGCAACAGGGATAAAATGACGCCAAACGGGTAGCGTTTCGCGGCCTGTGTGAACTGTTCCCACGAGTGTGCCTGAACGTGCGTAACATTGTCAGGGAAAGCGAAAACGCAAAAAAAGAAAAAGAGTCCAATGCATCACTGGGAACGTAAAGTAGCTCTGATACTTCGCACTTTCCTTCCCGCTTAATGTGTTCTACGCACGCACAACGAAATGAGTACTTGTGATAGGAGAGCGTGTGTGTTGATGGTTGTGTGTGCGTATATGCTATGCTGCCTGCGTAACTCAAGACTTCGTTGAAGCGGATCTGTCCCTTTGTGTTTCTTTATCGGAAGTGTGGGACAGTCTTTGAAGGAGAGCTCCCACGCTGCCGGTGTGAGGTTGTGAAGAGTCAAGAAAAGAAGTGACAACGCAGTTTCCCCCTGGTGGATCATTTAATTACTGGGAGTCTCTTCGAGAACGCACAAAGCACTATAATGCAGAGCGTTGGTAGGTTCTGCATCGCGAGGCTGCAAAGGCGATTCAATCTGCTGTAACTGTGTATAAGTCTCCTACCTTTCGCTTGATGATTCAAGGTTAGCACTGGTACCTATCAACTTTGCAAAGCTGCTGCGATATACAGGTGAGAAATAGAGAGTAATAACTAGGCAATCTACTTTTCGTTTACCTTGCTTAGACAACTTGAAAGTGTGGATGTGGTACAGCGATGCACATAAGGTTATACAATGAAGGCTTCAAGAATTAATTATCGATCGCACACATGTTTCTGTGATACTAATTGAATGTCTTCCCGTCCATTCCATATTTGAATGTTGCGCCTTTTGGAAAAATACTGCTCCGGTGAAAATATTTGTACAAGATTTGGATACGACCACGACACTTATTTAGTTCTTTATTACCCACACGGGCCGAGGACCTCAGTAATAACGCAAATTGCATGCTCATTTACTTAAGGCCTAACTTTTTAAAATCCCCCTTTACCTTAAAAATAGTATTTTGTAAATCTCCGATGCGCTGTACACTTGGGAATGCATGTTGAATTTAAAGTCATATTCACTCCGACCTTGTCAACTTTGTTTACCTAGAAGATAACTCCGCTGGTTCTTCTTTTTTAATTAGGAACGCATTGAGAGCAAACACAAACTATAAATTGTCATTGGCCGACACAGACATCCATCTTTTGCTATTTCATATGCAGCACTTATCAACAGTTCATGATGACCCTATACTCTGACCTATGTACATTTTGAACCGTGTCGATCATTGTAATAAGCTAGAAATTACATAATCACTTGTTGCCCCGCCGCGGTGGTCTAGTCGCTAAGGTACTCGGTTGCTGACCCGCAGGTCGCGGGTTCAAATCCCGGCTGCGGCAGCTGCATTTCTGATGGAGGCGGAAATGTTGTAGGCCCTTGTGCTCAGATATGGGTGCGCGTTAAAGAACCCCAGGAGGTCAAAATTTCCGGAGCCCTTCACTACGGCGTCTCTTATAATCATATAGCGGTTTTGGGTCGGTAAACCCCACATATAAATCAATCATAATCACTTGTTTATTTACCGTGTATCTCAGGACTGGAACCAACATCCCTCAAGTGTCCCAATCGTCACTCACAGTAAGCTTTTCCACGACATATTAGCTAACATTGATTGTAAAGGAAAGTTATTTGTTATTTGTACTCCGTGTGCTCGTTTGTTTCTTCTCTCCCTTTTTTTTCTTTCTTGAAGTGAGTGCGAAAATTTTGTATAATCTGGACAAACAATGTGTTACTTGGATTAACTTGTCTCTAAATCCACATACCTCAATTATTGTTACTACTCCCGCTTCAATCTATTCGGCCGGGAAGGGAATATAAATCATGAAACAAAATAAAACGGCTTTTACTCTTTGCTAGTTTAGTGACTATGGAGTAGCAATGCTAAGGCCAAAGTGGCTGATTTAATCATTACCTCAAACACACCGCTTTCTTTAGAGAATAGTCTTTGATAGTGCTTAGAAATGGTGCAAGGATGGTCACTACAAGTAACTACTTTGCGCATGGTAGCTATATATTCATAAGGAAATATGCGGTTGGGAAAGAAAGTTGTGTTAATCTGTAGCCTATAGGGCAATAAATTCTCAATATATATATATATATATATATATATATATATATATATATATATATTGTGAAGAAGAAAGAGCGTCGTTGGCAAGCAACATCGCCACCGCTTAGGTACTGGGTGCTGGGCTTCGCTCGCTCGGCTCGTGCTGATCATCGCCGGCATCTGCTTGACCGTTGCTCTTGCACGATCGTGTTTCTTCGTAGGACCACCGTCGCAACAGTCGTCAATAAACCCTTTTTCAATTGGTGGAAGGTGCTGACATTCCCCGTCGCCTGAACCTGGGTGCTGCCATTCGCCGTCGCCTGAACCTGGAGCTGCGCAACCGAACGCTACCTCCCATCATGGCTACCAACAACGCGCAACCTGGCTCTTCCACTCAATCCCCCAGCAACCCCGGCGTTCTTCGTTTGCGAGAGCCCAAGGTCTTTAGCGGAGCTGATGAGACCGACGTGGAAGACTGGTTCGCTAACTATGAACTGGTGAGCGCTAACAACAAGTGGGATGACGCGGACAAATTGACTTACGTCATCTTTTACCTCATTGACGTGGCCGAAATGTGGTATAATAACCACAAAATCGACATCACGACGTGGTCCATCTTTAAAACCTTGTTTGCTGACGTTTTTGGCCGACCCGCAGTCCGCAAGTCCAGAGCCGAACAACGCTTGCGGACTCGCGCACAAAAGCCAACGGAATCTTTCACCAGCTACATCGAAGACATTATTGGTCTTTGCAACCGTGTGAACACCACCATGCCCGAGTCGGAGAAGATTCAACACATCCTCAAAGGGATAAATGACGGTGCATATCAGCTGCTCCTGGCCCGTAATCCTGCCACCGTTGCGGAACTTGTCACTTTGTGTCAAAGTTTCGACGAGTTGAGCAAGCAGCGCGCCCTGACTCGCCCATTTTCCTCACACGCCGACTCGCTCTCCAGTCTCACTTCTGTTCCCGACCACTCACCCACCCTGCAAGAGATTAAAGACTTTGTACGTGAAGAAGTAGCTCGGCAACTGTCGTTGATTCCCTTCACGCAGCAGCCGCCGTCCTCTCGTCTGCCCTCACCACTCCGCGACGTTATTGCCGAAGAGGTAGCTCAGGCTGTTCCCGTCGCTGCCCACCAGCAGCCTGTGGCCATGCCTGTTGCCCATGCGCCGGCTATGCAGCCCGTGGCCGCGCCCCTTACGTATGCCCAGGTGGTACGTAGCAGACCCCGCCAGCAGCATTTGCCACCCATGTCTTCAGTCGCTCCCCACTCCGCCCCATTTTCGACACCTTGGGCCGCACCACGAGTCAGCAATTCCTGGCGCACTCCTGACAATCGACCGATCTGCTACGCCTGCGGTACTCCAGGACACGTGGCACGATATTGTCGCCGTCGCTTCCAACCACTCCGCGACGCTACTCGGCCGTTACCGTATGACCCACAGCCCATGCACATACCTGCTCCCTATCCCTCACCGCAGTATGGATGCACTAACTTTCCTGAGTCTCGGTCACACCAGCCTCAAACTCACTCTCCCCGCTCCCCATCTTCTCGCAGGCGATCACTGTCCCCAATGCGTCCTAGACCCGCTTCCTCCAACCGGGAAAACTGAACGCCACAGTTCCAGAGGCAAGAACTGCGCCGTCGTCGAAATGCTCAAGTCCTCGCACTTCACCAGCTAACGTCGTCGCTATATCTGTCGATGGTGTTTCTACCTTTGCCCTCGTCGACACAGGTGCTGCCGTTTCTGTTATAGACGCCCAGCTCTGCCGCTCCCTACGCAAAGTGACCACGCCGCTCTCTGGACTACCGCTTCGTACAGCTAGCGCACAACAAGTTCGACCTCTTGGCACCTGTACGGCCCGCATATTCATCCAAGGCTCTATGTACGTTGTCGAGTTCATCGTCCTTTCGGTGTGCTCGCATGACGTTATCCTAGGGTGGGACTTTCTGTCAAATCATCATGCCATCATCGACTGCGCACGCGCTGAAGTTCAATTTTCGCACCTGTGTGACGAACCTTTGCACGAAACCCTTGAGCGGTCGCCAAAACTTGTCGTGCGTGAGGACACTGAAATTCCGCCAGCCTCTCTTGCCGTTGTCCCGGTTTGCTGCGATGACTATAACGATGCTACAGTAATGTTTACACCTTCCGACATTTTCATGAGCCGCAGAGCCGTTTCCTTGCCTTTCGCTACACTCGACGTCACTGCGGGCCGAAGCAATATTTTCGTCCACAACCCCCTTTCTGCACCGCTTACGCTACTTGCCGGCGAATGTCTCGGTCGAGTGGAGTACCTCGATTCCTGTTTATTCGTTAACATGCCAGACGAATCGTGCAGTAGCGCCTCGACCGAACTTCATGCCCTTTCCCCACTGGAGTGCTCATCGAGTGACACCTTCTCGAGTTCCATCGCCGACACCTTAAGTGCCCATGAACGCGCCGAGCTTCTTAATCTCCTCCAGCACTTCGCGAATTCATTCGACGTTTCTCAGCCGCAATTGGGTCGGACTTCCGCAGTGCACCACTACATTGACACCGGTTCGCACCAGCAATTGCGTCAAACACCGTACCGTGTCTCTGCTGCAGAACGTCACGTCATCAACGACCAGGTCGAAGAGATGCTACGCCGTCGCGTTATTCGACCATCGCACAGTCCTTGGGCATCTCCTGTCGTTCTAGTTCGAAAAAAAGATGGATCGATTCGATTTTGCATCGACTACCGGCGATTAAACAAGGTGACGCGGAAAGACGTCTATCCATTACCGCGCATAGACGACGCCCTTGACAGCCTACAAGGAGCCGAATTCTTCTCCTCCTTAGACTTACGATCTGGATACTGGCAGGTTCCTATGGCAGAAGCTGATCGCCAGAAAACTGCGTTCATTACACCAGATGGCCTGTACGAATTTAACGTAATGCCATTTGGTCTTTGTAATGCTCCTGCCACGTTTCAACGGCTCATGGACAACACACTGCGTGGACTGAAGTGGTCTGTGTGTCTATGCTACCTCGACGACATTGTCGTTTTCTCTCCCGATTTTCCTACGCATCTGCTTCGGCTCCAACTGGTTCTGACGTGTTTAACCAACGCTGGGCTCCAACTGAACCTTAAAAAGTGCCGCTTCGCCGCGCGAGAGCTGTCCATCTTAGGGCACATCGTCTCCAAGCATGGTGTTCGACCCGACCCTGCAAAACTGCGAGCAGTCGCTGAGTTCCCGAAACCTACAACACTGAAAGAATTACGCAGTTTTGTCGGACTATGTTCGTACTTCCATCGATCATGTCACCACTGACCAACCTCCTACGCGGTGATGCAGACCTTTCATCCTGGTCTTCTGACTGCGACGTCGCGTTTGCCACGCTCCGTAGTCTGCTAACATCACCTCCAATTCTTCGGCATTTCGACCCAACAGCTGCAACGGAAGTTCACACAGACGCTAGTGGGGTTGGTCTAGGCGCCGTCCTCGCCCAACGCAAGCCGGGCTACTCTGAATACGTCGTCGCTTATGCGAGTCGCACACTTACTAAA